TGTAAAACAGAGATGATCAGATTGAGATATTAGAACATCTAGCTATGTATTTGTTTACAAGAGACAGAGGTTTGCCTGGTATAGTCTCACTTGAAAAGATGGATGGATTCTCTTTCTCGGAGAGAATAAAGAAGGGAGATTAAGGTGGCAGTGAGTACTGGAGCCAAGAGGTAACAAAGAAATGGGACCACAACAGCCTTCATGGCATGTATGTGAGAAAAAGAGCTGAGTAAGCAAAGGAAGGAGAGGTAAACAGGCAAACACACAGAAAGAAGGGAGACCCCTGTGCCAGCCAGGGAAATCCCTTAAAGATCCTGAGACCTACTCAGGTCCTGTTCTTGGTTCCTGCCAGACTTCTCCACATCCCAGAAAAAAATACCCCTTAACATAAATTAGATTTAATGGGTTGATCTTCCTTTCAGCCCAAAATCCTAACAAGAACACGTAATAGCAATAATGGCTAACAATTACTGAGTTCTGGGCACCTTCACAAGAGCCCCTCATGGACTATCTTATTTACTAGTAGCTACTATTCTCATTTTATATACTAGTAAATTTAGTCTTGGGGAGATGTCACAGCAGTTTATTAAGGACCCAAAACATGAACCCAGAACCATCTGGAGTTTCATTCCAGACCTATCCCCTTAACCACCACACTACACATGGTTTTCCAAATGCAGGAAGAATTACTCTACACTGCTCCACATGGCTTTTGATGAGCAAAAGTTAGACATGATAATGAACCATATTTTGTCTTAATATAAAAAATACTTTCTAATAGGAAAACAGAATAGGCTCCTTCTATAAGAAAAGAGAACCTCTTCAACTTAAGTATTCAGCAGAGGCTAAATGAACATCAAACAAGGATACATACAAAGGATTCCTTTATAGGAAGGGAAATCACATGATTTCTAGGTCCTCTTCTAATGCCATCAGTCTCTGAATTTTAACACAGTGATCTATTATAGCACTGTCTGATAGAACTTTCTAGGATGGTGAAGATATTCTATAATCTGGGGGCTACAACATATCTGACTATTGAGCACTTTGGAACTGAGCTTGTGGAACTGAGGAACTGGATTTTTAGCTGTACTTAACTTTCATTGTTTTAAATTTATATAGCCACATGGCATTAGTGACTACTGCACAAGTCTGTAAGCATTTAGATAAAATAGTAAAAAGAACTGTTAATAAAACTGGGCAGCCCAGGGCTTAGTTTTATGCATCATGCAAATACTGCCCTGCCCAAAAGCTCACTGCGGTGGCCCTGGGCAAAATCACAGGCAAGGACCCTGCTGACAAATCATTAGCATCACTTCCAGAGTTTGGCCTTTCTCAGCCGCACTTCCCTGTTGTCTGGGGAACAGACACACAGACACATCTGTATATATGTGTGTGCGTGTATGTGTGAGTCACAGTGCGTACACAACATGGGTTTCTAACAAGAGACAGAATAGAGTGGGAATATGATCATTTAGTTTTTCTCTATGCACATCTATATTGCTTTACTTGTTACAAGTATATACATATATATATTATTGGACTATAGTTGATATACATTATATATTGGTTTCAGATGTACAACATAGTGTTTGATAATTATATACATTACTAAATGCTCACTGTGGTAAATGTGGTTACCCTCTGTTACTACACCAAAATATTACAATACTATTGGTTATATTCTCTATGCTGTACTTCCATTCCTGTGACTAGTTTATTTTATAATTTGAAGTTTGTACTTCTTTATCCTCTTTACCTACTTCACCCATTACCCACTCCCCACCATGGTAACCAACAGTCTGTTGTCAGTATTTATGGATCTCTTTCCTTTTTGTTTGTTTTGTTTTTTAAATTCCATATGTAAGTGAAATGGTATGGTATAGTTTTAAAATAAAAACTCTAGTAAAATAAAATGAAGACTAAACTTAAGAAATACCCTTAAAAATTCTGTCATTGCTAACCTGGAAAAGTTAGGAATGTAGTTTATAAAAAGGAATACATCTAAATGTTCAGTGAGAAAAAATACCATGTATGCTTCCATTCCACAAATTTAATCCCCCATATGAACATTTTTTTCCTCAAAGGTACAAAACAGAGAATGCTGCAGAAAATAAGGAATGGAAATGTAATGGAGGAAGGTTTTATTCAAGGTCTGCATTTTGAGGTGTTGCATTCTGTGTTATTGTTGATATACAATACGTCTAACTCTAGTCTTACATTAGTATTATCTTAAATTGTTTTGAGGCTCAAAGAACTCCTGGAAGAAAATGCCAAGACCTGTACTAGCCTGTCCTCCTGCTGTGAGGGAGGTGCCTTGGGGTGTAGCAGTTCCAGACTCTGAGCTCAAGGAATTCAGGTGTTACAAATTGTTTAGCCCTAGGGGTGGACCAGTCAGTGAGCATTGCATCCTTTTAGGGCCAGCTGTGTAGTTTGTAGAGGCCTTTTAGAGAGATCTGGCCCTGGATCAGGTAGAACAGGATACCTCCTTATAAGTCCAGGGAATCAAAAGGAAGGGATTCTAGGGTTGCCCATATTCTCTGCCATGTCTAGAAAGTGCTCAAAGACTATCTTAGTACGGCTCAGTGTGCCCAGCCCCAACCTGAGTCAGAGAACATGGTACACTTTTAATTAACACTGTTGAGAAATTCTCCCAGTCTCCCCTCAATTTGAGAAGCAGCTGTGGCCAAGGGTTTTTAGCAGACCCGGATGGGGAGGTAGTAATAGCTCTGACATTAAATAAAAGGCTGCCCCACCTCTCTCCCGCTGAAGTCCACCATGACTGGGTGTGCAGGGGTTGGCTGCCTCACTGCCAAAGGTCTTGGCTCCCCATCAAGCAGGAAGTGTCTGGCCTCGCAAGCCAGGGCACAGGGGAATTGGGTCACTGGCAAATGCTGGTAAAGCAAGCAACTTCAACAACAACAAAATACAATAGTTAAAACTGAGAATAAAACACAGCATCAAAGTGCATCCCCAAGGATTCTTATCCATCCCGTTCCTTCATCATCCCTTCAACAACAAACCCTTACCCAGTGCTTACAACAGGAACTGCGAGGTGCATGAGAAATGGGAGAAGCAATGGCCCACAAACCCAGTTCTCCATTCAGCTCTCCCCCTTGCCAGACGCATGACCTCGAGGGTATTACTTGGACATAATCGGCATTTCTACATGCTAGAGAGGGGGAACCATTCTTAATTGCCAGGTACAGTGTGCAAAGTGCTTTGTGATTCTTATGTGAAATAGTCAACTGCCACAGAGAAAAATCACAGTTAACTAATTATCCAGAGCGTCTGGCTGCAGTTGTGACCCTGACACCCATCTCAAATCCTTGCACCAAAGGCTCCTGATTTAGAGGACCCTGATGGTGCACCGGCGCCCGTACTAACTTCTCTTGAGGAGGTCCTGTGTCGGCACATGGCTCTGTCACAGGCATCTGCAGTGAGGATGCCTCATAGTAGTCCCTGGGGAGCAGCACCAGGTAGTCCTAGTAAATAAAGACCAAAAGAACAATTACTCATTTTGTTGCTGGCCCTACTTCAGTAACACGATAGCCAAAAATACTTACACCAAGTCAATATTAACCAAGTTAATTAGCATTAAGGACAGCTAATAATAACCAGGTGAGGCTCCCTAGTTACCCTCCCCTCACTGGCTGCTTGGTTTTGCCCTCTGACTCACCAGAACCTCAAAGCCACTCATCACGGATGCTTTAGGGAGAAGCAGCAGAGAGAAGCACCTCAGGGTGAACATTTTATATTCAGATCTTCGGGCAAGTTTATTGTCTCTCCTGGGTTGTTTATCAATTCAACTATCATTTGATAAAAAGTTCCTCTGAAATACCTTTATCATATAGAACCCCAAATTGTAGATCATGTACTATGGCCTTTTATTCCCACACCAGAGCCACATTCGCCTGGCACAGTGTGAAATGTGATGTTTTAAGATTCTGGTGAATCATAGACTGAACCTGGCCTGTGGTCTGTCCTAGGACATGAGGGGAAGAACATGTTCCACTGAGCGTGCCGAATGAAGCCCACGGCATAGATTCAGCTAAGCAGCTCTTCACGGAAGAGCCGAGGTCTGGGCTTCTGAGACATGGGTGATTTGACAGCCTGGCATCAGGGCCTCTCTGCAGAGGGGAGGAAGGATGGAATGTTTACCACAAAGGTGAAGGGACTCTTACATGGGCCATAAGGATTTTTTTCTCTCTTCAGAGCCTTTAACTTTCTATACCAGAGAAGAAAAGAAATGTATGGGACAGGAGGGAAGCAGCAGACAGTGGTCCAGGGGACGCAGGGCTCTTACTACCTAAGTAGGTTTTAACTTCATAATGATTATTGTTCAATTAGTCAGTTTCCTTAAATGGGACCAGGTATCCCCATTACTTTATGGTCCCACAGAACCCATAATAGTAAAGGTGGATAACAGGTGTTCAATAAAGTATTTTTAGAAAAAGTGAGATCATAATATGGATGCAAACAAATGAGTTATTAGACAATTGCACTGATTACATGTCAAGAAGCATCTTCCAGGCCTATGTAGTAACTTTTATAATGAACTTCTTTCCATTAGGCAACCTCTGTAACCATTACTGGCACCAAGTAGATTTTCCTCTTCCTCATTCCTAGCATCTATGAAACAGGCTTCAACTTTTGTAAAGCAAAAAGCTTTCTACCAAGAAGATGCAAGAAAAATAGGGACTAAATGAACAGCATAAACCTTCACTTTATCTTTGTAAGATCCCAAATTTGGAAGGGGATTATATGGATAAGCATTGCTCCTACAACATGGAAAAAGCAACTAAGGCAAGCTTGTAGTTAAAATACTTGCCTAAGATGATCTAACATAGTCAATCATAGGAGTTGTGCCAAAAAGAAAAGTTTTGTTTTCTGCTCTGAGTGCATGAAACCAAGCTTTTGCCAAATACTTTGTCTGCAAAAGACCTTACAGCACATAAACTAAAACAGACACCAAAGAGGAGTATCTCAGATCACCGTCTTCATCCCTTCAACTTAGTTTCTCTGGCTATTCCACCAGCACTGGAGGACAGAGCCTTTTCCTCGATGAAGAGTTCTTTGTCCAGGCCTATCTGTTTGGTGAGCCTATTGCCTGCCTGTAAGGTAAAAGAAGCAGAAGAGTATCCCAGACAAGCACTGGGCTCCTCCAGTCTCCCCCTTCTCTTTCCACCACCCAGAATATCACTGATACTAGAATCTTCTCTTATTCTATCTTCTTCTGCCTAATTCTGACAGGGGCCAATTTTTTTAGATGTCCTCTGATTCACTATGAAAAATCTCAAAGAAGTTTTTGAAAGGCAGAGACATAGGCACATTAAGATTTTGCATTTATTCTGATAACTTTGAGGCATGATGATTTATAGTTTGGCAAATCTCTTTTGTCTGAGAGAAGCTGGCTGGAAAAAATACAAACAATATTTTAAGTTGGTTCCTATGTCATTTGAGAGCATATTTCATCATAGGTTCCTGTAATCACCTTTGACTTGATTCCTTCTGGTCAGCATGGGTCACTGTGGATGGGGCCACCTCTGGGGGAAGAACACACAGAACTCTCCACTTACAACTGTCTCTTACCAAGAGGACTCCCTCCGCCTTAATACAAGCAATCCATGTCCCTGGTGCAATTGAAAATGGGTCTGCAAAACCACTTCCAGGAACAGTGACAAAAGCTGGCTGCTTATTCGGCAGGAAGATGATCTCTTTGCTTTGAGCAGCATCTATCAGAAATAAAAAGAACTGCTCAAGGCGTTTTTCTAGCAGTCAGTGTTATGATTTTAGATACTCAGTTTGGGACATTCAGTTCATATCTGACAAAGTTGAAGATGGTTACTGATCATATGTACTGATCAGATTTATTTATCTTTTTAAAAGTTGTATGTTGTATATACATATGTATAAATCAAACTAGGAAGATACTAATAGATGTTAGCAGTGACAGAGGGACTGTGAGTACTTTTTTAATTTGTTAAGTGATTAAGAATATTAACACAGGTAAACTTAGACATGTTCTTTGCACAGTGTGTTCAGTATATAACATTAGATATTATGGTATTTTCTTTTTGTTTAGAAGAGATTTTAAATGTTTAATTTCTATTGAAGAACATGTTCATTTGGATATATCAAAAGGTTTTGGCTGTTTATTTTCAGGCTGCAAAGTGTTTTCTTCTGCACTGAACAAATAGGGAACCTTCTATGAGAGGTTCAGAAACAAGCTGCTGCATCTGAGTCTGACTGAAACATTTTCTTCAGAAGAAATATTTACTCCAAACCCTTGCAGTCACTCTACAAACATGTATGGGCCTGCTGTGTGTCAGGTCCCATCAGGTTCTGGGATGAGGCAGTGAACACAGCCAGCATGCGCTTTGTCCCGATGGTGGGACAGGGGAGGTGAAGGATTACAGAGCAGACAACAGGAGAATATGGTACAGCAGGGACAGTGGTATTTGGGAGAAAGCATAGGTTACGCAGGGAATACACACCCAGGGCCCCTGACTCAGACATGGGGGCTTAGGACAGGTGGCCCAGAAAACAAGAAACTAACCACAGTGCAGTCCAACTGTCTGAGTTAATGGAAGGTGAATAACAGATGGAACCATCACCTAGGTGGCAGTAGGGTCTATTAGAAAGTGTTTGCCTACAGAGCCCAGCTGTGCACTTGGGCAATTTACTGAACCTCTCAGTCTGTCTCCTCTTCACCCTCTTCAGTTCACAAACTGCTTATCCTGTGAAGGTATGGGTGCCAAAGTGCTCTGCACATGATCAGACAAGTCTGCTAGTTCTCCCTGTGATTAGTTAATCAATTTCCAGCCTCACAGCATGGCTGACATAATTTGTGAGCATCATTTCTTCCTCCAAATCTGACCTAAGCATGAATGCTGAACAAAGATGCTTAAATTTCAGTCTTAAATTAGATTCCCATTTTGTGTCCATGTGGGATTTCTAGTGCTTCCTGGAATGTGTGTCCAGGACTGGTAGGATCCCTAACTCCTCGCAGGACGGACTTGCAGGCCTCATCTCATCTCTGACTGTGTGGGTTGGTGGGATCGGCCCTCTGACTGCTTCTCCTCGGCCCTCAGGAATCCCTCACCCTAGAATGAGGTTTGCATGTCCCTCTCTGGACCTCTCTTGGGCTTCCTGCTTTACAGCATTCATCTTTAAAATTCCTATCCTCTTCCATTTCTCTGTCAATTATTTGGTTTTCCTGAAACAATGGGAGGACTTGGGGCAAGGTCTTTTGACAGCACAGAGGTGACACTGCCTTACCATGAGTGAGTTATAAATTATCTTTGTCCTGTGGTGACACCTTAACCCACGGAATTCAGCCAAGGTACACAGATTGTTGGATCAATTTCTTAAAATGAGATTTTATAACATAATTTAAATCTTAAGCTT